GCGCGGCGTGGGGGGCACCGGCCACGGTTTTGCAGGGCGGGTGGCCCTCGAGGGCTTGGCCCTGAGTTTTCCAAGAGGCTGGCGGTGTCAGGCGCGGTGGGGGCGTGGCGTGGGGGGTGCTGGCGTGGTTTTTGCAAGGTATCGGTGGCCTCGAAGATGCGGGGCCCAGAAGTTCCGGGGGGCTGGCAATGTCAGGCGCGGTGGGGGAGTGGCGGGGGGGGCGCCGGAGATGTTTTCGTTGGGTGGGTGGCCCCTGAGGATCGAGGCCCAGCGGTTCCAGAGGGCTGGAGGTGGCAGGCGCGATGGGGGCGCGGGGGGGGGGGGCCGGCGAGGTTCAGGGCGGGTCGGGTGGCTCCCGGAGAACTTGCGCCCAGAAGTTCCAGGAGGCTGGCGGCGACAGGCGCGGCAGGGGCGTGGTGGGGGGAGCGCCGGCGAGGTCTGCGGAGAGTGGGTGGCCCCTCAGAGCTAAACCCAGAGATTCCAGGAAGCTGGCGGTGCCAGGCGCGGTGGGGGCGTGGTGGGGGGGGTGCCGGCGAGGTTTTCGCCGGGTGGGTGGCCCCTAGGAACCGAACCCAATGGTTCCAGGAGGCTGGCGGTGTCAGGCGCGGTGGGGGCGCGGCGCGGCGGGCGCCGGCGAGGTTTCTGCGGGGTGGGTGGCCCCGGAGAATTTTGGCCCAGACGTTCCGGTGGCAGACGCGGCAGGGGCGCGGGCGGGGGCGCCGGCGAGGTTTGTGGAGGGTGGGTGGCCCCTTGCGGGCCCAAAGCCAAGAGATTCCAGGAGGCTGGCGGTGTCTGGCGCGGTGGAGGCTTGTCTGGGGGGTCCTGCGAGGTTTTTGCAGGGCGGGTGGTTCTCGAAGAACATGGGCCCAGCGGTTCCAGGAGGCAGGCGATGGCAGGCGCGGCGGGGGCGCGGGGGGGGGGGCGCCGGCGACGTCTGTGGAGGGCGGGTTGTCCCCTGTAGCCTGAGCCCAGAGATTCCAGGAGGCTGGCGGCGCCAGGCGCGGTGGGGGCGTGGTGGGGGGAGTGCCGGCGAGGTTTTCGCCGGGTGGGTGGCCCCTAGGAACCGAGCCAGCGGTTGCGGGGGGCTGGCGGTGTCAGGCGCGGTGGGGGCGTGGCGTGGCGGGTGCCGGCGAGGTTTTTGCAGCTGCGAGGCCCTGGAGAACTTGGGCCTGCAGGATCCAGGGGGCTGGCGGTGTCAGGCGCTGTGAAGGCGCAGTGTACGAGGTGCCGGCGAGGTTCTTGCTGGGTGGGCGGCAGGTTCAGAAGTTTCAGGGGGCTGGCGGTGTCAGGCGCGGTGAGGGCGTGGTGGGGGGAGGGCCCGCGAGGTTTCTGCAGGTTGTCGGGTGAGGGGCCCGAAGAACTGAGTTCTCGTTGGGTGCGACGCGGTCGGGCGAGGCGGGGGGCCAGGGTGATGGAGGTGGTCAGCAGGGGAGCCAGTTGAGTTTCGCGCGCCTCTGGGGTCGGCGGATTTCTTTCGCGTCGCGGGGGCCCGCGAGCTTCTTCTTTCTGCTTTCGCTGCTGCTGTTGCTGCCCCCTCCTTCTCATCTTCCCCCCCCCTCCCCGCCCTTTTTCCCTTGTCGCCCTGCTGCTCCAGCTTCGCCTGCTCCTGATCCTCCTGCTTCTCCTGCTTCTCCCCCTGTTCCTCCTCGTGCTATGCGTCCTCGTGTTCGTCGTCCTGCTCTCTCCTCGTGCTGTTGCTATCGTCCTGCTCATCCTGCCTCCTGCTGCAGTTGCTCCTCCTGCTCCCCGACTCCTCGTGCCTGCTCCTCCTTCTCCTCCTGCTTCTGCCTTCTGGGCTGGAAGTTTCCCGGGCGCTCCGTGGGCTCTCCTGCGCACGCCCAGATGGGGGCTTCTGAGGGGAAGCGCGCCAGTGGATGGCCCTGAATGCACGAGGGGGGGGGGGGGGGCTCGCAGAACCCCCCGCCCCCCCAGCCTTCAAAGGGGGGTGGGATTCTCGCCCCCCCCCCCCCCCCCTCTCAAGGGGCGGGTTCTAACCCCCGCCCCTCCCCCCCTTTGCGCCGAACAGGGGGCTGGGGGGAGGGTCTCTCGGGTAGCGAGTAGAGAGTAGGCTGTGGGTCTCGATTGGTGAGTAGTGGGTATTTGATAGTGAGTAGTGCGCAGTGAGTCGTGAGTGGTGAGTAGTGAGTAGTGGGTAATGGGTCGTGGTAGTAGTGAGTAGCGCGTAGAGATTTGTGAGTAGTGAGTGGTGAGTGGTGTGTAGTGAGTAGTGGGAAGAAAGTAGTGAGTATGGAATTGTGAGTAGTGAGTCGTGAGGATTGAGTAGTATGTAGTGAGTAGTGCATAGTGAGTAGTAAGCAGGGAGTAGGGATGAGTTAGTAGACAGTAGCGAATAGCGATGAGTGCGTGTGAGTAGTGAAAAGTGAGTAGTGCGCAGTGAGTAGAGAGTAGTGAGTAGTGAGTGGTGAGTAGCGAGTAGCGAGTAGCGAGTAGGGCGTAGCGAGTAGGGAGTCGCGAGTAGTGAGTAGTGAGTAGCGAATAGGGCGTTCTGAGTATTGAGTAGTTCGGAGGGAGTAGTCAGGAGTCAATAGTGAGTAGTGAGTAGTGAGTAGTGAGCTGTGAGTAGTGAGTGGGGAGTAGTGAGTAGTGAGTAGTGAGAAGGGAGAAGCGAGAAGTGGGTATTGAGTAGTCGGTAGTGAGTAGGGAGTAGCGAGTAGAAATCTGTGCGTAGTACGTCGTGAGTAATGAATAGTGAGTAGTGAGTAGCGACTTGCGACCAGTGAGTAGTGAGTAGGTACTATGGAGTAGTGAGTAGTGAGTAGCGAGTAGTGCGAAGTAGGTAGTGAATATGGCCTATTGGGTAGCGAGTAGCGGATAGTGAGTAGTGAGTTCTGGGCAGTGCGTAGTGAGTAGTGAACTGTGAGTTCTCAGTAGTACGTAGTGGATAGTGGTTAGTGGGTAGTGAGTAGTGCTTAGTGAGTAGTGAGTAGTGGACAGTGAGTAGTGTTTAGTGATAAGTGAGTATTGAGTTCTGGGTAGTGAGTAGTGAGTAGTGAGTTTGGAGTAGTGAGTAGGCAGTAGGAAGTAGTGAGTAGTGAGTAGTGGAAGCGTAGTGAGTAGTGAGTAGTGGGTAGTGAATAGTGCTTACTGGGTAGCGAGTAGTGAGTAGTGACTATTTTGTAGGAAGTAGGAAGTCGCGAGTAGCGAGTAGTGGGTAGTGAGTAGTGAGTTGTGGGCAGTGAGTACTGAGTAGTGAAATGCGAAGTCTGAGTAGTGAGTCGTGGATGGTGGTTGGTGGGTAGTGGGTCGTGATTTGTGATTAGCGAGTAGTGGGTAGCGAGTTGTGTTTAATGAGTGGTGAGTATTGAGTAGTGGGAGTGAGTAGTGAGTAGTTTGTAGTGAGTAGTGAGTAGTGGGTAGGGAGTAGGGAGTAGTGAGTAGTGCGTCGTGGGTAGCGAGGCGTGGGTAGTGAGTAGTGAGTCGTGAGTAGTGAGTTTTGAGTAGTGAGAAGTGAGTAGTGTAGTGGGTACTGCGTAATGAGTAGTGAGTGCTGTTTGGGGCTAGGGTTTCGGTTTGGGGTTAGGATTAGGGGTTAGGGCAAGGGTGCGGATTAGTGTTAGGTGTGGTAGGGGTCGGTTTCCGGAGACCGGGGGCGCCGCCGTGGCGAAAGGGGGAGGGGGGGGGGGGCTGAATTTGGCGGCCAAAGGGGGTGGGGTTCGAACCCCCTTCCCCCCCTTTTGAAAGGGGGGGCCCCCTTTTGAAAGGGGGGGAGGGGAGGGGATTCCCCGACGACGGACAGGGAAAGGGGGGGAGGGGGGGGGGGGGGTTCCCCGACGACGGATCGGGAAGGGGGGGGGTCCCGACGACAGATCGGGGAAGGGAGGGGGGGGGTTCCCCCCCCCCCCCCTGGGGTCATCCAGCGGCGCGCCCTCCTTCTGAGGCCCTCGCAGGGGCCCGCTGCCAGAGAGACATGCGTGGCCTGGAACTGCGTCAGCGCGCTCCTTTTGCCCCAGGGGGAGGTGGGCCAGCCTCCCAAAGAGGCAGACGTAACTTCAGTTTTTTGATGCAAAGGGGCTTCAGTCAGCGGCAGAAAGCCATTCCCGTGTCTTGTGATCCCTTTGAAGGCGTCGAGACCCCGTCGTACTTTAATCGTAATCTAGGCAAGGGAGGTGGAGTGCGTGGGTGATTTGCGCGTTTCCTTTCCTTCCAATTCGCCTTTCTTAAAACGAGAGCGCTCGAAACAACCTGATCGTCGCAATGGACTGTTGACAAGAGGTCGTTACTCTGAGCGGATCGCAGGCCTGGGGGCGAGAATTCCTTGCATTATTGTTGGACTTCGCTGCGTAACGAAAGACAATCGTCATTCGTAATGGGGTGCGTCCGTATGACGGTCGCCCTGGTTGCGAATTCTATGACATTTTGTGAAGTTTTGTGGCTATGTGGGTCCAGCAATCAATCGAGTGGCATTCGACTCTGATTTTGTAGACAAGGGGGCCCCTTGAAACTCTACTGCCTCATTTCATAAAAGGATGTATGCGTCCGTGGCGTTTTTCGTGACATCGGTAGCGGCATTTGAGTGCCAGCCGAGTTTCGGATATTTCTTCGTGAATGTTCATTGCCAGAGTGGTGTTCACGCTTAATAAATACATCATGGTCCCGCGTAAGGAGCCTGCGGTAGGGCTCATGCTACTCGGCGGGGTGTCGTGGAATGCTATGGGGTCCTGGGCTCTCTGGGGGGCTGGTTCAAAGCAAGGTTTTGGGCAAGCCTCCTCTTTCTGAACCCCGTCCTCTGGGCTTTTTGGGAAGCCTCCTGCCCCTCCTTCCGATTACCGTCCTGCTCCCTTGTCTCCTTTCCCCCTCCTACTCATTGTGAGCCTCGTTATCATCCCCTCCTACCTTTCTCATCCTGCTCGTCTGTGGGGTGGACTTAAAGGTAATGGTAGGAGAGCGAGTACACAGAGGTGGTCCCAGACTGTGTGGCGTTCAAGCTAGAAGGTCCTCGTGGGGACGGCGGATCTTCACCTCCTCTCCCTTGCTCGCAGGTTTGCCGTTACGGTGATTTGGGATTGGCTGCTGATGACGCCCGTTCACCTCATCAGGGCGGTCTGGGACTACGTCTCCTGTCAGGAATCCACACTTCGCCTGGGCCCTCGGCTGGCGTGACTGCTGGCCATACGCCCAGCTCGTTTTGATTCAGTCGTCGATCCGTCCTCTTCATGATCGACCAGTGATGCGTGGTCGCGGCCATGATCGCTGCTCACAACGAGCAGCGTGATATGTCATCATGGGGAGTTAGATTCGGGGGCTTACGTTATCTTGAACCACGGTGCGCGTCTCTGACTCCTGACACCATTTCCAGGGATTCCGGGGAACCCCAGAACTAGGTGAATCTGGCAACATATTGTGAAGAAGTTTTTTCGACAGTGGGGTCACCGAGACTTTGGCCCCAGTACCTTGCACGAGACTTCAAGCAAGCCCCAGCATGCCTTGAAGTCTGAAGAAGCACCAACATGCTGCCAAAGGGCCGAAAATGCTCCCAAAGAGGTCCCAAGATGCAACCAGGGAGCTCCACAAGGCTTCCTTATTTCGCCGCCAACATGCTCTATCATGCCACCAAGAGGCCTCAAGAGGCCCCCAACCGCGCTATGCCTATACACACCTATGTTCGCGTCTTTGCATGTAAGCATATATGTGTGCATGCATGTATGTATGTGTGTATGCATGTACGTATGAGTACAATGTGCGTAGGTGTCTAGGTATGTGTGCTTGTATGCCTATGCTTGTGTGCATACGGGTAGAAACTCCCGGTCAACCGCATAGCGGCGGACAAGTACTCATTGAAGCCCCCTTCGTTCGTTGCTTCTTCCTCCGCGCGTTGCACCGCTGCTGCTGTTGCCCCCCCGCGATTCTTGGATCCCTTCATCATTTTCATCCGCCCACGTCTTGCCATCAGCATCGTCACCAGCATTACCACCAGCATTGTTTTCCAGCATCATTGCCAACAGTATCATTACCCGTATCATCATTATCCGCACCACCACTCCCATCTTCCCAAGTCATTGCCAGTTGCATCATTACCACCAGCATCACTAGCATCATTCCCCCCCATTCCCGAACACTTCAAACCTCTTTCGCGGACAATCAAGGCCAACTGCCGCAGCTGTTAATGACGCGCTCGAGCAGTGGTGCAAATTGGGGGCTGGCGGGCACGCTGCTCTCGCGCGCCATTTCGACTCGAGGTAGCCTGAATTCAGGCTGACGTTTGCTTTGTTGGTCCTTCGGCGGAGCCGGGGGCATCTGCTTTACATTGTCTCTCCCTCTCCTCCCTCCTCCTCCCTCCGCTTCCCTGTTCCTCTCTCCTCCTCCCTTCTTCTTTTCCTCTTCTCCCTCGCCATGCTGGCTGTGTGACGACAGTGGCCTGGTTCACTTCAGGCATTTTCATTGGAGCGAATTAACAGTGACGGCGAGCGCCGTGCGAGTCACCAGAAACTGCGAGCACCGTGCGAGGTGTTTACAAAAATGACGCCTCATCCTGAACAACAGCATATGCACCAGCATGACTTCATCCTGCTGCTCCAACATTCTCATCTTCGTCACGAATTCCACCATCACCACCTGTGCCGCTCCCCTGTTGCTTCAATGCGACGGGTGAGCAACAACAGGACGGATGTCGGACACCACGTTCTGACTTGCGCGAATGTCATTCCGCGTGTTACTGCACGGCGGAGTGCATCAGTACGACTGAGGAGCTAGCACCATGACCTGTGAGCAGCTGCGCGACTCGGGCAACCACGCTGACCAGCTCGTCGATGAGCCGCATTGCCTGGCACTATTACGACTGGAGGAATAGCATCAACACTGAGTAGAGTCCAGCACAACGGCTCCGTCATTCAACAGTGGGTAACAAGACGCGACGCGACGATGATCAGCACGACGGGTAACGGAGCAGCATGGCGTTGGGCAGCACGATGGATTACAATGACGGGTGCCAGCAGAACGGCGTCGGGCTGCGCGACGGATAGCAGCAGCAATATGGGATGCAGCACCACGACCCTAGCACCTACCAGTGGACAGCCCAGCTGGTATCAGTTGTGCGAGGGTGAGCAGCACGACTGGTCGAGGCTGAGCAGCCCTTTCGGGTCGACTACGGCCGCATCCATAAGCAGCACTGGCTCGACGACAAACAAGAGGGACACACCCGCCCAAACGAGCATGACGGATATTTGCAACAGGGGTAGATCGGAACAGTACCAGGGGTACCAGCGGCATCGGAGACCAGCAACGGCCTGCGTCCAGCACGTCGGCAACAACTCCGTCGTCTCTCCCACGAAGGTCCTCAACGTCGAGTTCTGGGGGCCTTCAGGTCTGTGATGAGCCTGGCAAAGAGACTTTTCTTATATTTCTTTCTCGCTCCCTCTGCCGCCTACGTTTCCTACGCCCGTCTATGTGTGATTGTGATGTCGAGTTGCTTGTAGCCTCTTCCTGGCGTTTGGGCCCATGCTCGGTGATTGACGCCAGGGTTGCACTAGAAGTGAAGGGTGTCCATGCACGCGCCTGGCCTGGTCAGCCGCGCAGTGTGGCCTCGATGAGATGTTTTTGACTGTTCTTGCGATCGTGCGTGTATTTCCATCCTACATGTCTGGTTTTCTGGGGACTATGCGAGTTTGCCTGCTCCTACTATTCTAGACGCTTCGCGTAACCTTACCAGCGCATCCAGAAACGATGCCCAGGCGAGTTTCTCTGATCAGGCATGTGGGGGAGCATGCAGTGAAATAAAGGCTGGGAAGCTGTCATACCACAAGAGGGGAAGGACGGAGGAGAAACCAGATGAGGAGGAGGATGATGATGAGGAGGAGGAGGGAGGAGGAGCAGGAGGGGGAGGGGGAGGAGGGAGGAGGGAGAAGGGATGAGGGAGGTGGAAGGAGGAGGGTTAGCCGGATGAGGAAGAGGAAGAGGAGGAGGAGGAGAGGAGGAGGGAGGAGGAGGAGGAGGAGGAGGAGGAGGAGGAGGAGGAGGAGGAGGAGGAGGAGGAGGAGGATGATGATGAGGAGGAGGAGGAGGAGGGGGAGGAGGAGGAGGAGGAGGAGGAGGAGGAGGAGGAGGAGTAGGAGGGCGAGGAGAAAGCCCAGTGGCCTCTTGGATGCTTCTCGGAGTCTCTTCGGATGTCTCTTGAGAACTTCTGGTAAGCCTGTTGGGGCGTCTTGGGGGCCTCGTGGCGGTGCCAGTGGCCTCTTGAAGCGTCTTAGGTGCCTCAGGGGAGCCACTTCGGGCCTCTTGGGGGTCCCTTGGGAGCCTATCGGGGGCAGATTGGGGGCATCTTGGTGGCCCGGGGCCTCTTGGGGCCTCCTGGGCGCCTCTTGGGGTCCTCGTGGGGCACTCTTGGGAGCCTCTGGGGCCATCTTGGGGCTGGGCCGTCCTGGAGCTGATCGATCAACAAAAATGGGGTCCAATTAGCGTCCCCCCCAGGAGGCCACAAGTGGGCCAAAACCTTGGTGAAATCATTGATTTTTTGCCTTCTCGCCGGGGCCATCTTGACCGCTCCAACCCCCCGCGGAACCCCCCGTTCGGGTCCAGGGGCAGGGGGTGGGGGGAGGGGTCACGACACCCTCCCCGCCCGCAAGCTGTCTCGCTCACTCCCACCCGCTCTCCCAATACATAGTAGCACCCGGACCCCAGCATGGTCAGCGGTCATCTACTGAAAGACAGCTACTGGAAACCAAAGCAGACCCCATGTGCGCGACGCTGGGACGAGGTCCGCCACGTGTGCCAGGTGCGCCTCGCGTGCCAGGTGCGCCACGTGCGTCAAGGGCCCGCCCAAGCATGCCAGGCACGCCTGGCGCGCCAGATGCGCCACGTGCTCCACGTGCGCCACGTGTGCCGCATGGTTCAATCGCGCCAGGTGCGCCACGTTCGGGGCACGCGCAGATGGTGCCAGGTGCGCCCGCGCACTTGACAGCATACATCGGGAAACATGTCGGCCCTACCATCCTTATCGAAAGCCAATGCACAGTCGCCGCGGGGAGGCCATCATGGTGTCTGGTGGGCCTGCACAGAGCATACAATATGCTAGCATCCCCGCTGTCCTTGTCTGAAACCAACGGTCAATGATCGCGGAGTGGCCGCGCATGGTCCAGGTTTAGCCGCGAAGTGTATCTTGCGTTGTTGTTTGATAGGCATGGTGGCTTTGCGCGCAGCGGACAATACGATAACACCCCCGCCGTCCCTGTCGCATTACACGAGACTTTTTTCCCGTTCATAAGAAAACACATATGTTTACGCGAGGCGAATCTTGTGAAGGCCTTGCGGCTGGTGCCGCCGATCTTGAAGGCGGGACCTCCCCCAGGACCCCCGCTGGTGCCCTCCCCAATGGGTGGGTATTTTGATCTGGGACCACCCTCCCCCACCACAAGCGGACCTCCCTCGGGACCCCCGCTGGCGAACCACCCAGGGCCCCCCTCCACGACCCCTCTCCAACAGGGGTGACCCCACCTCTTTTCCCCGTGTCCACATGGGGGACGGGGGAGGGGAGGGGGGCCCGCCACGACCCCAGGGTGGGGGTGGGAATCTGACCTGGACCCCCCCGCTACCCTCCCCGGACCCCCCCCGTACCCCTCCCGTACACCCCCCCTTGCCCCCCTCTGTGCCCCAATCCCCCCTTCAGGGGGGAGAAGGAGGGAATCAAATTAACCACGACGTTTTGTTCTGTTCGTTCCTCATTTCTTTTGGATTGGCGACGACGACTACGAAGACGACGACAGCGTCTCACACACGCCGAAGGGTCGTCGGATTTCTATGAGCGCTCTAAGTAAACGAACGCATCACCAGACATGCACGATCAGCGCTGCACTCATTTCCGCTGTGCCTCCCAGTAGCGCGCGAAGTGGCGACAGTTGCACAGTTCGTGAATTCGCAGCTTCATAGGAAGCCACGAGGTCTTGGCTGGACCCGGTGGACCCCGACTTCGCTGGACCTCCCAGGAGCCCACGGACGTGGAGACAGTTGCGCAGGTCGCAGCATTCCAGGGATCAGCGAGGTGTTTAATGGGTGCGCGTGGCTGGACCTCCCAGAAATCCAGGAAAGTGGCGACGGTTGCGCAGTTCGCAGCCACCCAGGGAGCCGCGAGGTCT